TCCCGATCGAGCAGTCGGCGCGACATCCACGGGAAAAAAGAGGAACGGCCGAGCGACGGGCCGGGAATCGAGGGGCAGGATCGACAGGCTTCCAGCCAGGATTATTCAGCGACCGACCAAGAAACGCGGACCCCGACCGACGTCCATCGGAATGCCGAACCTGACAGGGAACACGAGGCCGGCTATTCGGAGGAGATCTCGCTTCCGTGGTCGGATCCTCGAAGAAACGAACGTCCGAAGAGTTATTTGCGCGGAACGTCGCGTCCGACGAGAGATTTCGCGACAACCGATGGAGAATCGGCGACGAGCTTCGCGGAATCGTCGGATTTCGTGGGAAGCGACGCGTCGGGAAGTTACACGGTCGATAAGTCGCCTGTAAGAAATTTGGAGAGCGGCGATGGAAAGAACGAGGTAGACGGAGAAGCTACGAGTTTTTCGATCGCGAGTTCACTCGCACCGCGGAATGTGGTGAAAAACGATGGTGACGCTGATAGGAAATCCAAGAGTCACGTGGTGGAACCGAGCAGAAGTACAGAGGACGAAGGTAATTCTAGATCAGCGGCTTATTCTATCGAGAAGCCGCTTCCGTCGTCCAACTTCGACAAAAATGATCTCGTAGAAAACGCAGAAGGCAATCGCGTGTCGATAGATGGTTTAACAAGAAGCTCGTTTCTATGGTGGAATGTTGAAAGGAATGATAAAAATGACGGTGGATCGAAGAGTTATTTGGTTGAAAGGTTACATCCGTCGTGGAGTTTCGTGAGAAATGATCGGAGAAACGACGATCGAAAGTTGGTAAGTTATTCGGTGCCAAGTTCCTTTCCAATATGGCATGTGAAAAGGAATGACGGCGAATCAAAGAATTACGCGGTGGACAGCTCGCTTCCGTCGTGGAGACTAGAGAAAAAATATGGGATAAAAGATGAACACGATGGTGGTTTAACGAGTTACGCGGTGGAAAAGTCATTTCCGCTATTGGCTTCTGAAAGAAGCGATTACATCGGCAATGAGAATAATGGCGCGTTGACGAGTTATTTGGATGAATCTCTTTCGTTGCAGAACCTGAGGAAAAACACGGGAAACGAAGATAATTACGGATTGATGTATTTCACGGGAAATCCTATGGTTTCTGTAGAAAATGAAGATAATTACGAATCTATAAGCGATCCGTGGAACGGCGCAATTTCATCGCGGGATTTAAAAGAAGAAACCGATAACGCGTACGATAAGGGTAATGGAAAATCAATTAATCGCGGTGTAAAAGTGTCATTAACTCGCGAGGGAAACGATCGTTCGTACAACGATTATACATCGACAGGCTATTCTCGTGAAAATTCGCTTCTTCCATCGGATTCTAAAAAGATCGATCTGATAGAAAATAAGCGTGGACCGGTGTACGGCTCAATTACGAGGAAAAGCGAAAATTATTGGAATAAAAACTCCCTTCGGTTATCGAATGCTGAAAAGATCGAGCTCATAGAAAATAGCCGCAGACCGAGGAAGATCTCAATTACAAAGAGGGGCGATCTCGCGTCGTTGAAAGATCCAAAGAGACGAACGAACGATAATGATGAGGCGAATTATACGATGTTTAGGAGCGAGGAAGCTAGGAACACGAGCGAGCAGGATGAGACTCGGTTTTCGAAGGATGACGAAGAGACCCGCGACGCGTTCAATGGCTCGGCTGTCGGTGAAAGGAGCGACGTTAAAGAGAATTTGTCGCACCGAGTGAATGGGCAATCGATGAATGAAGTCGGGAAGAGTTTGGGGCGAAGTTACTACTCGGACGCGGGCAACAGCCTTTCGCTAACCTTGCACGGGCAACGCGGTGAAAACGATGACGAAATCCATGGTCTGGCAAAAATGGAAAGTACTGCTATCTCCACGCGATATTCTCACTCCCTGCAGAGCGAATTAAACCACGAATTAACCTCCGTAAGCGACGTCGAAAGCCGGACGCAACGAAAACTTCTTTCGTACGATGTATCGTCTTCGGCTTCTAAATCGAACGAGAAAAAAGAAATTCTTTCGAATATAAATAACGAAGATCCTCGTCATCGAAATGACCGATCAATCTCGACGGAATCTCGATTCGACCGGAGGGTCGAAAGGAAGCTAAACGTCGGATTCTCGGACGAGCTCGTCGGTGATTTCCATAATTCCGACCAGCTATCCGACTTTGAAAAGGCAGACAGGGAAGAAGAATATAAACGAGACGAGGAATCGATCTCGGGATCGGCCGATTCCTCCCGAGCCAAGCCGCCTGTTCTCGCTGGAATGCAGAAGGACCGTGTGCTTTTTTTTCGCGAGGATCACGGGCCGACTCGATCTTCCGCAAAGACGTCCGAGACGTTCAGAAGCCGTAAAGGTCGAACAGTGGAACGGAATCGCGAGAACATCCTTGAAAGAGGAACGCGCGAGACGAGATCTCGCGATCGATCGCCTCCGGCCACCGATCCTTCCGTGGATTTTCGTGAGATGGACGCGGCGCAAGGTTACGCCGAGACACTCGCCGGATACGAAATAACGGATCGTCGAGATCGCCACGATGCGAACGTTCGTGAAGCCGGTCCTGCTTCCTCTCCGCTTCGTGGAAGCGGCCAATTGTTTGACGAACAGATAACGATGGTCCCTCCGGTGACCGATAAGTCGAACGCGGTGCAAGAATCGGCAGGCGAAAAGACTTTCGGTAAATTGAATTTACGCGATGATTTCGCGGATGTACGAAAGGATGGAAGGAGATTGGAGTGGGCAGACGGGATGTTGTTTGATACGAATAAAGTGCAACAGTTGGCGGACGAACAGGTAGATAGGAATATTCTCAGCGGAAAATTCTTCGGTCCGAGCGAAACGCCATGGTTCGAGGGTAAAAACGTATCCGAACGATTAAATTCGCACGGCGACTCGTGGAACGATCGAAGATTCGAAGTGGATTCGAGAGATGGAAGATCGTATAGTTTCTTGGAACTAAGACAATCCGAGAAGGATGAAACGTCGCAAAAATTTTCAAACGTTCGAGGACTTGCAACTAGATCGCCAGATACGAAATCGTCGGATTCTACGGTTACGATACAAAATCTTGGAAGGAAAGACGAATCCGAAGAATCGAATTTGCTTAATGAGCTTTCGAAGGATGAAAAATTTGGCACGAAAGTCGCGACCAAAGATCAGCAATTATCTTCATCGTTCTTTCGGAAGGATGATTTGCACCGTGAGAAACAGTCGATTATTCGTCGAAAGAGATACACGAATTACTATTCACCGCAGTCTGCCACCCCCATGGCATACGTGCACATTCAACCGGCGTATCCGGTACCAACGGCACCAGCTGCGAACCGGAAGTGCGTACAGTGTATGTTTGTTTACAAACCGTGTTCTTCGCCACCTAGACCTCCACCATTTAAGAATGCTTTTCCGACGAATAAGTATCAGGATTTGGCTCTAAACTGGCATGGACTTAAATACGGTGAGTAACAGAAGGTTAAACGTGAAATTTTTATTACTTTCGATACGTTTTCATCCAGCTAATCATCTAGTCAATTATATGTAGAAATATATTTGCGAGGGAAGAAGAAATTTTGTGCGTATTATTGTAATGGAATTGAATATTACTACAAATTAAACAGTCGTGTCAAAAATGTTATCAGTGTTAATTATATAGTTGATAGAGCGTGTTGCATCGAGGTAGGAATCTCGTGAGAACGTTGATTTCATCTGTTTCTTCGTTTACTCAAGGTATTGAAAGGAAAGGATTTACGGTGTTTGAATGGAGTACACGTGTAGAATCTTCTCTTGGAAAAAACGAATATGTTTGGAAGAAATAGGAAAAAGGATTGGTGAACATAAAAACGATTCTGTGGTTATGAAGATAGGAGTTGTTAGGAAGAATTGTGAAATAGAAATAAAAGTTTGAGTAGAAACGTTTCTCGTTGAACGTACAGGTGGAGAATACAGTTGCGTGCAATTAAACTAAATGTCAGATTTGTAATAAACTTGCAGCTAACATGTAACAGATAATTAAATTCTAGAATAGCTTTTCTAGGGTATGAAGTTTTCTAAAGTCTCTAGTGTACATTCTCCTTTTAAACTTTCCATTTCGTGTGATACCCGTGTCGTAGATAATAAAAATCTTGCAGGATAGTAAACTAAAATTCCAAGTTGTTCCTTGTAGCTTTTATCGCGCATAATACCGAGTGCATAATAATTAACATGAAACGTTAAACGTCATGCTCTATCTAAATGCACGTCTAAAACAACATTCTAATAACAAAGTTACGTAATCCTCCAATGTTCGTCCGAATTATTTATTTATTTATTAGGCATATAGTACAGCAGGAGACAATAAATATAGAAGTTACAACGTTGCAAAAGTTAAGTTACGAGTGCAACAGAACAGGAATAGATAAATAGATAGAAAAAGATATTGCATTAACGATTGTTTGAGCGTTAACTATCGTAAACGCCGAACGTCTAAACCTGTAAGAGGAGACATAGAAGAAATCAACTCGATCAGACATTACATTAGCATAGCACATATCCTGGTAATCGCGTCGCTGTTTCTAATATCGTTCACGAAGAATTCAACCCGGAAAGCCATAGTATTACGCAAAGAACGCGAACATGCGTTAAAATTTACAACCTGAGGAAGCCGAGGGCAATCAACGAGATTATTTATAACCTTGAATTAAAAAAAAGAATATCGGCTATCTTGTTCCTGTTCTCCAACGTGATCGTAATATTCAATTTATGAAGTATGGGATCATTATAAAATTATGGTCGCGGCTGTACACCGAACAACCAAACGCACGTGACATAAAGCACAAGAATTCATGTTGTATTTTTCCCACAATTTTCGTCCGCTTAGATCGATCGTGAAAGACCATATGACGCTAGCATATTCCAAATGGGATAAAATCGAAGAGTTGTAGACGATTCTAAGGGCGGCAGGATTTTTAAAATGCCAATAAAATCTGATTAAAACACAAAAACGTATCATTATATATGGGTTATTTTTAAAATTTGTAAAATTGCGGCGTTTGCCGCTAATGGTCTAAGAAAAATGCATTACACGAAAATACAGTGCTAAATCATATCAGGCGGGCTAATCATCTCTCTTTTCCTCGCAGAAGAAAATGCACGTGACTTTACAGCGGAAGTCTGCTTGTACCGCGCTCGACCAACGAACCTTAATTACGCTTTTTCCGTACGTTCACGGGGGTCGCAAAATTCGTTGAACGTATAAAACGTCGCTAGAGCATATCCCCTGGCGTTGATTGCAATTTATTGCTGCACCAGGTTCATTCCTAGAAAAACCACGCCGACGAAACATCGCTCGGTTAATGAGCCGCGTTCGAGGCTCCTCAAGTTCGCCGCGAGGGTCGAAGGTCGAATCTCCGATCGACCTAACACGAGCGGCCGTGCCTTCACTCGACTTCCGTTTTCTCGGTCGGAGGAACCCTGAAGTACGGTTCGTTTCGCTAGGTTTGCATTTCTACGTCTTCCGATTACTATGTTTTTCAGACTTTTTTTAAACATTCATTCTGTAAAACTTCTGCAACTTTTCAATGTCTCTGATAAAAGTAGGAATCCGACTGTAACTTTTCGTCGAATAGTTGAATAGCTTATCTTTCGTTTTATCCAGCTATCAAATAATTTTTATGGGACTTTAAGGGATTTCCAGATTTTGAAAGAATCTTGCTAGAATTTCCAAAGGATTTTAAAAACCTTCTATATGATTTCTATGCAATTTTAAGGAAGCACTTGTTGTTAAAATTAATAAAAAAAAGTAGCGGAGAACTTTCGATACGTTTTTTTATCTTACTTAGTACATCCTGATACGATTTTTACTATAAACTTGCCCGTTGAAAAATATATAAGCTATATGCTCGAGACAGAACTTGTTTATTGGTTCTTATCGTTGGCATTTCAATACCCTGAAGAGGTACGGTAACGATTACACCGTGGGGTAGAGGAAACGAACGAGAGGAGGAAAAACGTAAATGGAAAGAAAAGTTACACGCAAAGGTATTTGCGTAGGCACGTACCATTGAAGAACGACGAAGGAACTAAAAATATCGGCATATCAACGTGTCGGCAGATGTACGTGTGCATTCGCACGCAGAAAAGTGCGTGATGTCTGAGCAAAAGTGTGTTCAAGTAGAGATGGGATCGAGAGAATCGCAAGCGCTTAATAAAACACATTATCCGAATAATTCCAGAAGTCATTGTACCGCTTGCAAGCAATTCGAGAAACATACTTTTTGCACTGATCATATCGAAGGATAAGAGAAATAGTAAAAGCAATCGTATTATTAATTTGTAGATAAGATATCGACAAACGAATGAGGATAAAAGTAAAATGAAATATTTTTCTGTGTAACGCTAAGAAATGATGAATTTCACTCTGTCACTATCTTTCTCAAAATTATTTTTCTTTCTCCTTTCGTTTAAATTTGTATAGTATAAGCCATCTCGTCGGTTTCATAGCAGAGTGACACACTTTACCCTTTATATTTATTGAGTTATCTGTTCTCAATTGGTATGGATTTGGTAAAAAATAGCGAAATCGTTCGATAAGAAGTTTATTGTATCGCAGACCTAGATCATCTAATTAGAACACCGATGCACATAAAAATCGAGGCTTGTTTGATTTGTAGGCACAGCAATTATATACGAACTTAATTAAACATTTATATTATACGAACATAACGACACATGAATATAATTAATAATTTAGAAAACTTAAAAGACAAAATAGATTAAAGTTAAATAAACCAAATAATCGTTGTAAGGTTTCAGTTCGTATAATTATTGTTCTCGTTCAAGTAAATCAAATGTAGCAGTCGGAACAGATATCCCGATCTGAGTAAGAGTTAATTCAATTTTTAATATAAAAGAAACTCACGTTTCTATTATTCCAACATCTTTGTCTCCGTATTAGTTCAGTTACGGCAGGTTCTACCGTATTTCGAAATACTTGCCAGTTTTTCCAAATTACATGGCTGGTTTTTTACCAACCACCATCGCTGTTATTTAAAATACTTTCACGCTACTGCTATACGACTAGTTTTTTGCTCGCATAGCACGAACTCCGGCATGGATTCCCATTAATTACGTCACGAATGCGGTTAATGACCGGTATCAATCACAAGAACGTACAACATAATCGAATTGAACACGATTCTTTGCGATCGTTGGTAGAAATGCACGGTCCTGGTGGCCTCGGTGAGGATCTTGTTCGCCGTCTTTTAATTAACGCCATTCCCATCAGCTTATATTAATTCAGTTTTTTTATTTAGTATATGTAACGTTCCATCTATTATTACGAGATAAATTTTTTGCTAGTTTTACAGATTGCACGTAATACTCAGCAATTTTATTGTAGTATTGGACGAACATTACGTTCATTTACTTGATTATGCAATTTTCAGATGCTTCTTAGTAATTGATATCGAGTTTTACACGATAGAACACAATGGCCGTGAAACATTTTCAAACACATGTTTGATTTATCAGATTGGACTAAAAGCTTTTTTGTTTCTTCCAATCGAAATGTCCATTTAAGTCTATCAGGTTCTTTTCTCTTAAGGAAAATAATTTTCTTACACATATCACATTCTTTTCGATATTTTTTAGATCAATTATAAGGTCGAGATTATTATATCTGAAACATTATATGACATTTTTCACATACTACTACCTCGTTGTATACAAAAATGATCATAATCTGTAAATTGTAATATTATGCTTCAATGAATTTGGAAGACATTGCCAATGCTTCCTCGACATACTTATAATTTTTAGCCTAACTTCTTCCTTAACGAACATCCAAGATTTCGTTCTTATGTCTCGAAAGTTATGAATCGACACAATATCAGCCGCAATGACACGATAGAGTACCTAACTAATTATCTTTGCGTACGTATTTTTGCAATGTTATACCGTGACAGATATCACGATCTATTATTTATCGGGTACGACGCATGGTTTCCGACCTTTCTCGTTCGACTATACACAGATTCCAGATGCTATCTGATAAGAGATATCGAAATTGACATCGTTATTTGTATAGCACGGTACAAAGAAGCGATGCACGTGTTGCAAGGATATTTGTAATTAAACTCGTCGTGGTCGCTTTGATCAAAGTTTGAAAAATACCAAGTATCGGCTACACGTGCATTTTCGAAAGATGAAACTTGGAACGAGCAATTACTCGTATCCATAATTAGTGACTGGTTATACATCATCGCCGATAGCAAAATCTTATGTTTTAATTACAAACTTAGCGGATGATATACGGAACGAGTACTAGAAATCTTTGTCTCGATTTAATAAATTATTAAACGTTCAAGTATAAAAGTTAACGATAGGTGGCTATCTTAATGTTTCGTTATCGTCCGTACTATTATTATAGACATCTTTTTTCCTTAGTTGAAAATAGCGAGAAAAGTTCAGGTTTGATAATAG